TCCACCAAGAAAAGAATGGTTCACATGAGCATCGTCATGCCATGTTTTATGTTGCCCTATACATTATGTTGTGCTACACCGTCTTGAGATTTTTTGATAATATAAGATGGTATAGATGTTTAAAATAAATTAAATAAAAATTAATTCACATGCAGCCCCTTCCTTCTGTAAAGCTGGTACATGCTACTTTGCTCCATGGAAGGGCACACAAACATTACTCCTCGGAAGACATCAGTCTCTGTGTGAAGAGCACTTTAAGGAACAGCCAGAAAGTTTCATGAATGCAGGTGGCTAAAAACAATGAGGGGAAATACAAGGAAATGCCATCTGGATGGAGGAGAGCTTGTTTATTAAAACAATTCCAAATCTGGGTTACCATTAGATATAATGCAGGCAATTTGGAAGAACCCAAGTGGAAGGTGTTGTCACTGCAAGTTGATACAAAGCAAAAAGAGCATTTGCCTCTAGAAGAAGGTTGTTTAAAAGTGGGGTGACTCACATATTTGAGAAGCAGTGACAGATCTGAAACTCTGGCTTGGAGTGGCAGTAGACATATGCAGACGTAGTTGAATTGCTAGTTTCCTTCTCCTTTTGCTCTGACCAGGGGTTTTTACAACACACCACAGCACAATTTTCAAACTCTCTTCTCTTTTAAATGTTATTTGCTATGTAGCTGGGGAGAGAAGTCATGTTTGAGGGGGGAAAAAAGATATACCCAAAGCCTTGTTGTGCTTATTGTACAAGTTTAATGTTAGTTTGGAACCAGCCCCCATTTCCTACAATACTTTATGGGGAAACGTTCTTATCTGTAAATGTTTATTTACTAGCACTGAGCAAAGCTTTTGGAGTGATTTACAAAAACATGATAAAATGCAAATGTCAAGCGAGAGTGCAAGATTTACAGATTTGCTTTTCCTCTGAAGCCCGGCCCTTTTACAAGTGGTAGCTGCCAAAACCTGTGGCTGCTTTGCACAGGCAGGTGTACATATGCAAGCTTGCACACACCTTCACATGCGTGCATTAATGAGCAGCGAAACTGCCCCAAGGAAAGTGAGAAAGGGGACAGACTCATTTTTTTCCGTTCTGGAGACACTGCGAACCTCCAGCTTTTATCGATGGCATTGGTCTAGGTACACAGAGTGTGCCACCCAGCAGATGCATGTCTCAGAGCACGTACATCACAGTGAGCTGTATCAGAAGGCCAGATTGGGCTGGGCTCCCTGCAGGGGCAAAGAGGCTTGTTATCACTCGTGCTGCTGTGTCACAGAAGCGATAACAAACGCATCTCCCACTGTAACGTGGGAAGCAGCCCCTCAAACAGCAGTGGGGATTTCGCTGGCCTTGCTGAACACCCAGAAGCAGCCACTCTTGTCTCATGGGAGAGCCAGCACTGTACGGGCATCTCCTCCAGGCAACAGGACTTTATTCAGATGTGAAAAGACGCAGTTCCTCAAACATGCTGTTATCTTTCTGCTGTGATGGTTTTATGATTGAGCACTCCAGGTGTACTTTCCCCTCTTGGCAACTTTGTGAGTGGCGCTTCATCCTCAAGGCACCAAGAGGAATCAAAATGCTCGCCGCCACACCCAGTGCTGCTCCTCGGTTCAGTCACTGTCTTCCTTTCTCTTTAGATGCAAACTCCAGGGGGAAAGGCAAGCAAAGCAGCAGGCTTCCTTCGCATCGACCCCTTCCCTGCCCAGATCATCCAGACAAGAACCCTTAAATTTGCTTTCAGTGTCTATCTGCTGATGTCTGAGTAGCATTATGTTGCTTTGGAAGAATATGCAAAAGTGGAGCTGTTTTACTTCTTTTAATGTAGTTCCAGCTAAGTCAGAAGGAAATAAATATGCCAACGGTGCCCACAGTGAACACCAGAAGAGATGAGCGACACTTCTCTTTTTATCTTGTTGACTGAAGACTACAAACAAGGAAGGAGAAAAATCCCAACATCAAGAAATATTGCCGTTCCCCGTACCAAAGCAGAGTGGGAAGGACAGGGAAAGCCGAGACAGCGCACATCTGGGCACAACCCGCGCTTTAGAGCAGCCTTCCTCAACCTGGTGTTTTGGACTTCGGCTCTCAACGTTCCTGACCATCGGCCATGCTGGCTCAAGCTGATGGGAGCCGATGCTCAAAACATCTGGAGGGCATCCGTTGGGCATGGCCGCTCTAGACTTCTTTTTTTGGTCCACAGGGCCTATGGATGGGTGAAAAGCACCCTCTGTGCCCATGAATTAGGCAGTTCAATCCCATGCAGACTGATTTATGAGTTAAGTCCCATTGCATTGGAGCTGCTGTCAGGCAGATATGCATAGGACTGATGCCCCCTTTAGGTTGCCAAATTCTGCAGCACAAACACAGCCAAGCCAGTGGCACTAAATGTGGTAAGCAGGTGGGAAGGAATGCCCGGACAGGGAGCACCAACTGTTTGGGTGTCCCCTTCAAAAAGGATACAATCACATTCTGAAATACAAAGGCTGTGTCTGAATGTCACAATAAACCATGGTTTCTTCTCATGGGAGTGAGTCTAACTTATCCCAAGACTCACAGGGTCAGAAGGGAACCAAACCTCTTCCCGCACAGCCATAAGGCAGCATCCAGAAGTCTTTATTCCCATTTTTTATTTATTAACTAGGACTAGTTAATAAATGGACCAGTGTACTTCACTGAAACAAGCTAACTTCAAATGGCGGGTTATGAAACAGGCTTGGTTCAAACAAACCATGGTGAAGATTAGTGTATTTTGCTGGTACACTAAGCTGAAGTTAATTTATAATTGAAGCAGAAGCATTTGATCTTCTCCTTGTGACCACACTTATGGGCACACATCATGATAAACCATTATTTACCTTGATGTCTTAATAGCAACCACCATATGGATCAGCTGGGGAAAAGCGTTAACACCCTGACCTATCTTTGAGACAGCGGAAGGAGAAAAATGGAACAGAAAACTCTGGAAACACAACAGGAGAAAAGTGGGCTTTGCATGAAGTATCAGCACAATTTAAGATTCTGGGTGCCTCCAACAGGAGGATTCCTAACATAGCCAATGAAAAGGCATTCTGTGGTGGTTTTATCTTTTCCACTGTAATGATTTTGTTTTGTTTTTCCTGGTAGCACAAGAAACAGAAGCAGCAGTGTGAAAACACAGGGAGTCTTCCAAGTAGAAGACAATGACCCCTTATTAAATTCCATGAGTTGCAGGATTACAGCTTTGTCTGGGAGCACCTGGTCCTTTCTCCTTGCTCCTTCACATCAGCCTTTCCCAACCATACGAGTAAGCCCTCCAACTCCCTTCAGTCCTAGCCACCATGGCTAATGCCCAAGGGAGCTACAGCCCATCTGCAGGGCACCAGGTTGGAGAAGGCTCCTTCATACAGACAGCCAAGTAAACTGTGCACTTGTTTTATATGAAATGCTGAATGCTTTCATAATCCACATACAGCCTCAGGTGGAATGGGGAGCGTGTGAATCAACGCAACACTCCAGTGGCCAATGCCCCTCATGGGTTTATCCAGCTCATATCAAACACGAATGAGACTTTTGTTCTTGTGACTCTTCTAGGAAGGATATTTGTGAGTTTGATTTCCCAGAGAGTTAAGCCTTGTTTTGACCTTACATTATTTCACTTACCATTGGTGGGAATTTTTTTTGGTACCCATTTGACTCTAGCCTGTACCAAATGTGTAAGAACAAAACTGTGCTGATCGCAGTCAGATTTATTGATCTAAAACAGCCTTCCACATGTTGGTGCCATCCAGATGAGTTAGAATGCACTTCCCAGAGCTCCCCAGAGGATGTTAGGCCAACTGGGAAGTACAAAATGCAGAATTAAAAGCTACCAAAAGCAGCAGTCGGTACAGTACTGAAGAGCACAGCTGCCGGCAGTCTAGAAATCGTCTCATTATGAAAGTTCTGCTGCAGACACACTTCTCTCTGAGTTCTCATTTCTTAATGAAAACTCCACTTTTAGCTACTATAGAAACCAACAACAGTGTCTGTGAAACAAACTTCCCAGTACAAGAGGCACCAATTGAAACTACTGCAGAAACAGAAGAGTGGCACCTGACTATATGTATTACATAAGGCAGAAAGCTTCAGATTTCAGGGTCATAAAATCCAATTTTGCATTTGCTGAACTCCAATTTTCCTCCAGAAAACCCAAACTGGAATTCAATGCTTGTTTGCATACTCTTCATTTTAAAGCAATTCCAAACACTGCAGTTTGGGTTTGTTTTGTACAGGAATTTCAGTTCTAATTACTTAGAAATAAGTCCTCCTGTGCCCAGTGGGATTCAAAGCCTTGAAAGAGAGTCAGTTGCCTCATAGTTTTAAGTGGATTTATGAGTATTATATTTCCAAGCTGGACTACTCAGTACCCAAGCAAGATAAACAAGAAGCTGCAAGTGTCTTTATCATATCATTAGAAGATAAATGTGATGGCATGATCTCACCCCACCTTCAAAGCACAAGTCAGATGTGGTTATTGATGTGCTTAGACAAGAAAGAAAAACAAGTTAGGAAAGGCCAGATCCCCTACAATATGCAGAAGTAAAAACCAGAAAGCAACCAAAAGCAAACTCTTTTCATGGAAAAGGGATCCCTGGAATGTAAGGTCTCCTTACATCATGCATGGCTGTGCTTTACAATCCATCAAGAAACATTTGACTGTATTTCAAATTGGACCAAAGGTTGAATTCTGACTGAAGGCAGCGAGGTGTTGATTGTGCCTTATCAAGATAAGTATACTTTCGCAAAGCACTGGTGACCAAAGCAACAAGGGCCTGCATAGCATTTCACAACCTCTTAAGCAAGAACAAATGAAGATGTCAGTCTGGGGAGAGATTGGCTAATGGAATATAAATCGAGACTATTTCTGTATTTTCACAGCAGCACCCATGACTTCATTCAGAAGGCTGATTTCTGTTCATAGCGAACAACCAAAATGAACCTCATGGAGTGCTGGGGGAAAGGCAGAAGAGGGTGGGAAGGCTACGTACCTCTCACACGATACAGCGGTTTTCCGACCTGCATCGTCTCTTCTCCACAGGGGTGTCTTGAGCAGCATCTTCCAGCAATGCAACCGGGTTGTGCTGCCCACTGTGCCCCTTCCCATTCTTCTAGGTGCAAAGGATGTGACTCCTCACCACAGTAAATGTTGACAGAGAAGTTGGGGAACTTAGTACACAGGCTGGAAGTCTTCCCCTGTATCAATTTCCGGATGAGTCAGCCTTCCCCAGCCAGGCTTTGGGCTACAGTTTCGAGAATCCATGACCATTGGCCATGCTAGCTGGGTCCAAGGAGGGTTGAACTTCTAAACACCTGAGGGCACTAAGGTGGCTGAAGCTGATTCTTTGTAATACAATTCCCAGTAGCCCAAACCAGCATGATTGAGAATGGGGGGGGGGGGTACACCAGAGAATCTGCAGGGCAGAGACACCCTACCTCTGAAAGAAAGGATAACAAACCTAAAAGAAAAAGCAAAAAAAGGTCCTTTTTCACGGGGATGAGAAGCGCATGTATCCCCCAGCCAAGATTTTTCTTTCAGAAATAGAGCCTACAAAGAATCTCCATTGACTTTGTTGTAGTTCCTTCATGTTTTTAGGCTTTAGCATCACTACATTTCTGCTGTTCTTGTCTTTTTAGAACTCCAGCCCAAAGTGATTTTGCAAAACAAATAGTACAGAAAAGAAAAGGAAGACCTAGAAGAGGAAGTCGAACTATGGCAAATTTAGGCATTAGTAATTAAGGCCGTCTTCTACAGAAATCGTGCAGACTGTGGCACTGAGAATAAAACTCAGCCACCCAAACATCCCACCTTAAAAAACAAGCAAAAGAGTATTTCTAGCTGTTAAAGCTGAGACCTTTTAGAGAACTGGCACACAGCCGAAATCTCAGGTGTTTGTGGGGAGGAGCTGAATTAGTGTGCCCTTACCAGAAGGTGGATTTTCAGGGTTCCCCAAAATGAGCTAATCCAGAATAAAAGTGACGCAAAACAGTAAACCCCGCAACAGGGAGGGAGGTAAGAAACGTTCCTCAGTTTGCTCATCGCCCAGAGTTTATTCCGGACACAGAAGGGCACCTTTAGAGCAGCCCATTGCAGGAGTCTTCCTTCCGCCGCGATGAGCCCGTTTCTGGGCACCGGAGCAGCACGCGCATCGCGGCAGGTGCTCCCCGCACAACCCGAACTCTAGCCAGAGGCGCCTTCTTCCCGCCAGCATCACAGGCAGCCTCGAGGGAAGGGCTCAACGAGCTCAGCCTACCGCTCTTCCAGCCCCGCAGAAACGGGACAAACTCTTGTCCCATTTCGGTGCCCGCCAATCCTGTTTTCGGGGCGTTACCATCGTGGTTCATTCATCCCCAGCTTGCCTAGCCTTCTCCAACCGGGCGCCCCCTGCATGGGTCGGAGGACAACTCCCAGCATCCCCCATCCAGCATGCTGGGAGTTCTAGTCCAGCCCACCTGGTGGGATCCAGACTGAAGAAGACTGTCCTTGCCCATTATTCGTCTCCTCCTCGTCATCGCGGCGGCGTTATCACCGTGGCAGGACCACCCACAGCCCGAGGAGGGCCACACGCGAAGCAACAGGAGCCCGCGCCTCCCCGCCACCCACGCCTTCTCCCGTCCAGGGCACGCCGAGCATCCTGCCCTGAAGGGCCCAGGCCGACCGGGACACCGGGACGCCCACCACCCGCCGCCCCCACGGCAATCCGGAGACCGCGCTGCCTGCCAGAGATCGAGCCCCGCGCCCGCCGCGCCCTCACCGGCTCGCCAGCACCTCCTCCGCCCTGAGTCCCGCACTCGCGGCCCATCCTCGGCCGCGGCGCAGCAGCAGCAGCAGCAGCAGCAACCCAGCGGTCAGTTCCTGCTCCGCGCTCCGCGCTCTGCCGAGCTGCCGAAACGTCCCATGGCCCGCGCGGCCAGCAGGCGAGCCAGCGAGCGAGCGCCGCGCGCCAAGCCCCCACCGCCCGAGGAGGGCGGGGCGGGAGCAGCCCGGCCCCGCCCCGCCCGGAAAGGCGGCGCGGCTCCTGCCCTCGTCCGCCCTTCACCTCCGGCTCCGCGCTGACAGCCTCAGCGCAGGTTGGTGTCCGGATGGGGTGGACTACAGCTCCCCGCCCCCCAGCCAACGTGGTCATCGGCGGAGCTGAGCTGAGCAGAGCGATGGGAGCTGTAGCAAAGCCCGGAAGGCCGCACTTAGCGCCTTGCTTCTAGAGAAAGTCGCTGGGCTTGCAGGCTTATTCCGAAGTCAATCCCACTGGAGCTACACCTAGATAAGTGTGCACGCGACAGTATTCTGTAGAACCTCCAAGTGTACCAATTTGGCGATTCCTTACATCAGAAGTCGAGCGTCCCTTCCGTACGATGCTCAGTGCCACGTTTACAAATTGTAGGGCTCCCCTCCCCCACCGCCCTGTCAAGAAGGACAGGAGAAAGAGGTTGAACGGGGAGGGGTGGGCGGGCATAGACCCCTCTCTTCCAGCAGGAGACGCCTTTCTGTAGGAGCCAATCTGCCACCAACTTCCAGGAGAAACAAACCCCTTGGCAGTCTATCTTCGTCCTCAAGCAAACTACCTGGTGTCAAAGGCCAGATAACCTTGCTGAGGAAGCTCCAGCCTCTCTTCCCATCATCCCAAACACCAGCAGTCCTGGTGTGAATACTGCAAACCTGTGATGGGTCGAGAGTGCTTTTCCTACCCAATCAGTCAAATGTGATTTAGATATTTCAGCCTGTTATTTCCATCAGGATAGGATCCCCAAAAAAGCCCAAATAGGTGCCAATTCACACATGTAAACTGATTGTTTCTGGTGACTGGCGGTCTCAGGTGCTCAGGTGTGAATAACCCAACAGAGGCAGATCACTTTCCTGTCTCTGGATGCCACCCAAAACATTTTTTTTTCCAGTTGAGACTTTCACACTCTTAACTGAGAGTCATCAAGGGTTATGTAATCAACTGCTGTGAGATTAACTAAGTCCTAAGAAATGTTTACCCTTCTCTAGAAATGTTTCCACCAGCTGCAACTGCATTTCCTTCCATGTAAGTGCAGTCTTAGGCTACAGTCCTGCGAGTACATCGTGGAGTCAGTCCCTTTGAACTCGGTAGTCCTGAGCAGACACGCCTAGGGACTGAGCCTACGCATGTGTGAACCAGGTCTGGAGGAGCGGATCCAACCAACCTTGCAGGGTTGTTCTGAGGATAAAATGAAGGAAAGGGTCATGAACCTTGAGCTCCTTGGAGGAGAAAATGGGATATGCGTGTCACAAAGAGATAAATCATTTTTAATCCCAAACTATGCCTATTTTGCTGCATATGTTAACCTTTTAAACTATGTTGTTACATTCATACACCACCTTTCTTCCTCTTGCAAGGAACCCAAGGCTGCCTACAAGGTTCTCCTTCTCCCCATTGTATCCTCACCCCAACAAGCCTGTGAAGTCAGTTTGGCTGAGAGCAGATGACTGGCCCAAGGGCCCTCGTGAGCTTCATGCACGAGTGGCACTAGGACCCCGGTCCCCTGGGGCTCGGTCCGGCACCCTAACCACTACAGCACAGTGGCTCTCCTGGCCTGTGTGAAAGGAGCTGCAGAAAAGAGCACTGTGACTGCTGGAATTGCAAGTGATGCACGTTGCAAGGTTGTGCGAGTTGCAGCTTTTCATGCTCTGTGCTGCGTAACCCACAGAGACCACTCGAGGGGATCACACTTGCCTGGCTGCCTGCTGAAGGGGTTACGGAACCAGGCCATCAGGCTGGGAGGAAGGAAGGGCAGAACAAGGAAGAAGGTGGTTTTCCGGGCCATGTGCGCTGGTGTGTGTGGTGGGGAGGGGAGCGGAGGGCAGTGTCAGGAGAAGTAAACAAGCCGGCATGCCTCCCTGGCTGTGCTATAGACGCAGCACCATGGGTTCTGTGCTACTTGGGGCACATGGGCTATATCCTGCAGGAAACAACAACAATGGGGCGGTTGTTATTGGTCTCCGGACAACCAACACAGCATAATTTAAATAGGAGGCGGTTGCCACAGGAAATTTTCTAAGAAGGTGTGTCCAACCTATTCCTTTCTAGCAACTTTCATTGTTTTAGAACACACATCCCACAGCGCACACATGTTGTTGTTTTGGCAACAACAACAACAACAACCTTCTCCATAGTACTATACCCACGCTAGCTTTGGAGTTTGTATTTTCTGTGAATGCTTCTATTATATAAAATAAGCTGTGCCAGTCCTTTATGCTAATGAGACTACTTTTGTGATAATGGCACCAGTTCAGCTCCAGTTAGTACTGAGAAGATCCTACTGAAACCAATGAATCAAGGTGGTCTTAGCTAATTTTTCTCCTTGGGGTAAAGAAGGCTTCACTTGTGGCCCATAATACATTTACAAAACACCCACAAAAGCATATTTGAGAGTTAGCCCCAAACAGAGGACACACTTGCCGGTAACTACACATAGGATTGTGCTGCTAGGATTAAAATTATCTGATAGCTATAGACAAGGAGTAGGAGTCAGATTTACACAGGGTCAGCTGCACTGGTAGAAATAAACGTCCCTCTCTTCTTCCCATGACAACCCTTCCAGCTGCTTGAAAATGCTACACAGATGAGAGTCCCTTTGAATGGGGGTGGGATGAATCTCCAATAATCAGGCAAGGGGGGCAAGCTGAGTCCTTCCTCTTGTAAATTCTGGATCCAGCCCTAAACATTTGGCATACATATGAGGCATGGGGAGCGGGGGGGGTGCCACTTTTTTTTCTCTGTGGTACAGCTGGATAGAATTTTCCTTGCTTTAAATGATAATGATGCTTTTATTTCTATACCACCCAATAATCTTTTGGTGGTTTACCACAGTTCATAAAACCAATACAATAAAATGCCATGAAAATTTAAAAATGCAAACATTTTAAATAAATTAAAATAGGTAAAACATTTTGATGGGAAAGGCCTGTAAAACACTTGGGATGAGTAGTACCTCCAGGCGCTTCCATATCATTGCACAGCTTCAAATGCACTGCCTTGGCATAGACATCCATTTTAACCTGGTGTTAAAAGGAACATTGATTGGCCCCAAGGAGGCCTCAGTGGAGAAATCCTTCTGCAGTTTGAGGGCCATCACTGAGAATACCTTCCTCCTTGTTGCTGCCTCCAAGCCTCCCAAAAACTGGCA